TCCCTTGCTAACAGGGATGCAAGGCCTTGGTTTCAATTTGCTGCAGAAGTGAGTTTCGGGTGCTTTAGCACACTTCCCCAGTGACTGGTCCAGCATGTTCTCAAACCCACCTGAGAAACCACTACCAGCTCTCCTCCCAAGAGCCAGACTCTAAACGAGTTTGGCTTTTGTTGCGAGCCCTGCAGAAACAACGGGCTCAACGAGCAGACCTTGCTGGCAAGGAAGGGAGGGGTTTTAGGGTGACTTAACACATATGCAGAAGAACAGGGGGGCAAAAGCAATGATATTCTTTTTTGCAAGTGCCACAAAACACAGAGTGGGAAAGAAGATAAAATGTAATAAGGCTTCTATGAACATCTGTCATACAGGCTGGCACTAAATGTAGCTGAAATACACACGGGGGCTCAGCATTTACCCTCCCCAGTAACTCATCAGCCACACAAGAAGCCAGTGCCTGATGTTATCTGTTGGCTCACCAACAGACCAGCTTCCTCACATTCACAGTATAGCTCCTTTTCCTGCCCTAGCTTCCAAGCAGAGCAATTAGGCTCTGGACCAGAAGGCACTGAGTGTGACTCAAGGTTGTTCAAGACCAGTAAGCTACATGTTCTCACATTCATCAAATAAAGCTTGCACTGGAGAGGCTTAGAATTCCCCAAATCCAGTGTGTGTCAGACAACATTATAAAGTGTTAACAGGCATAGAACAACTGCAATATTCACAGTGTATTTATGGATAAAACTCACTCTGGATTATTAACCAGGAAAGAGACTTTCCCCCACCCCAGCAAAGAACCATCACACGTTTAGTTCTCCTCCAATGCATGCATTTAAGCCCGATGTTATTCCCCTCTTACATACTCTTCCCCTCTCATTCTCATCCTTATAACCCAGATTTCCCAATTTCGCCAAGCCACAGCAGAAGTTTGCTGACTGGCTCTAACCAGCGCCGCCAATCTCTTCTTTCAGGATGGCCAATTCCAAACTTTTCTTTCCACTGAAAAGAGGGGAAGAACACGGTGGCAGCTTCATGACAGCAATTCTTTTGTTGACTCCAATAGTGGTGCAGCATCCCTACCGACAAACCAACTCGCCATCCATGGCATCCTGCTCATCCGTGCTGGCGAACGAGACCCTACCACCAATCACTGCCCCGATTATATAGACGAGCCACGTCAGGCGCCCTGAAACCAACAGAGGACATCAGAACCGAGCACGTCACACATCACGCGGAGGAGATTTGCATTTTATTTTGGCAAAGACGGGATTCGCAAGGAGTATCTTTCTGCTTTAGTGCCCATCTGCACCAAAATGACTCAATTTTGCACTTGGTGGAGAACAGGCATGACTTTACTAGAAGAGAAACAAGAATGCCAGGTCTGCCTGGAGGATTTTTATTATTTAAAGCTATTCCACTGCAGAAAGCCACTTTCTTGTAAAACTGTATTCTGTGTATTGAAACACATGCAGATGCCAGTCGGCAGTGCTTATTCTTTCAAAGTTCATGTGGCTGGTGGAGAAGCCAGCATCATATGTAGTTTTGCCCCCACCAAAAAAAATAAAGTGTACTGTGTTAGATCAGACAATACTGTTTCAGAAGGAGGAGGAACTGCTTCCATACTTGTGCTCATGCACCCAACTCCTTCACGAATGGGGAAGCCAGTTACCTTATTACAGAGGGGGCATAACACAGCTATACCTGAACCTTCAAAGGAACTGCTTCTTCATGGCCAGCGTTAAGCAATTCCTAAACTAACCAGCTGTGCAAGTACAAAACCTCCACGCTGAACCCACCCAAGGCTGCAGACAGACGCCCTTCTTCAGACAGTGGCACCAGATGAAAACCCCACTCCCAGTTACTCATTACCAACCACCAGCTGGAGGTTTCTGCCACATAAGCCAGCAAGGAGGTTCAAATGAGCGCTCCATATCCTGCCTCAGGCAAAAGAGGGATGGGACAGGCAGTGCTGACCACCTGTGGATGGGGGAACATCCTCAGAGTTTGTCTCTGAAAGACAGGGCAAGGAGATGTACTGGATTTCCCCAAAAAAGGAATGGAGTCAGTTGTAGGACAGCAGTATCTTCAGCCAGCACTGCTGTGTGCATTGGGGGCGTCTGTCCACAGCCAAAAATATTCTACCAAGAGTAGAGCACCTCCCCAAGAGAACGTTTGTGAGATCTGCCTCCTCATTTACAGATGTCACCAGGAATGGTACTTTAAAGAACGGGCAACCCACTGCAAGCTCGCAGGCCACAGTTCTCCAAACCCACTCACCTTCTTGTACAGCAACGTCCATGGGGCTGGCAGTGGCACTCTGCAGCAGCTCCTGGTAGGACTGGGCTGACTGGTCGAAGAGCTGCACGAGCAGAGCGCAGGTCTTCTCATACTCGCACCGGCCAATTGTGGATAGCTGATCTAGCTGCTGTTGCACAAGGCCAGTATCATCCAGTGGATCCTCCAAACCATCCCTAAGCAGCAAGATGACAGATTAGAAAGGATTTAAAATGCAGAGACAGCCTAACCCGTAACATAAGCTTATTTCTATCAGAAAGAGGATGGTTTCCCAGGCATACAACAATTCCAGTGACTAAAGTCTCTGCCTCTGTTATTCGTCACGATGGAGAGCTACACAGACTGATGTAATCTCATCATTACTGCGGCCACAAATCACAACAGCAGTGGTCCAGGTGGAAAGGCCATCAGGACCTGAGATGAGTAAGCTCTTCTTATGTCTTTAACATTTATCCAGGTCTTCGACCAGAACGACAGTGCAAAGAACATGGTTGTCTTTGTAGAACAAAGCTTTCCATCTGTCTCAATGTTTTAGTTACCTTTTCCTCTAAATACACTAACCTCATCAATAAGTTTATTGCAAACTCCAGAACTAGCTAAACCTGCTGTTCCTCCCTTGCATTGCTAGACACCTGAAAAGGGATAAGTCAATCAGTCTTCCTTAAGAAAGACATTATTTTTCCATATTTGACCATTTATTTTTATCAGATACAAACACACAAGGTGGAATTCATCCCACACAAATTCAGGCACTGCAACAGAGTCCTGTAGGCTGTCCTTACTTACACTCAAAGGAAGGAAAAAAAACCAAACACTTCTAGGTATAATTTGTGCCATCCTACAGCAGAGATCTAAAAATTAAGTGAATCACACTTTGCATATTTATTCCTCTCTGCTACGATGGCAATTCAGAGTGTAAATGGTATGCCACAGATGGATGTTGGTAGATAACATGAATTCTAGCCATAACATATCAGAGATCACACAGATCAATCTCAGCAATATGAGACTGAGCAAGGTCTAAAAAAAAAAACCAAACACCAAAACACCACCAACAAACCAGCTTACAAAAACTCACGCCTCTTTTATAAGAGACTGAATATGCAATTTAGGTAATTTAGGTAAACCTCCCTTCGAAATCCTTTGGTGACTCACACAACTTCTGCAGTCGTGCTTGTTTTTAAAAGAAAACTCGGAAGAGAAGCACAGTAGAGCCTCCTGGGTTAGACCCTGGCGTGGACAAGCAGAAGTGCTGCCATCCCACTGCTTCCCCTCACCTCAGGATGATGTGCACAGACTCCAGGCGGGACGTGATGTAAGCTTTTGTGACTTCTGGGGTGTATGTTTCCAGCATGTGAGGCTCTGTGGCTTTAACATAGGGCACTGACGCAGCCAGCCGCTGCCACAAGCTCAGGAGATAGTGGACACTGTTTGGTGCAAACTCCCAGTGCTACCAGGAGCCAAAAGGAAGGAAAAGAAACCAGTGAGTTATGGCCTTGTTTTACTCACGTTGTTTTGACTCGTGTAGCAGTAGATATGGCAACATCTAAAAGCTTTGATGATCTGGTTGCTGATTTTAACAATGAATTTCTTCACTTCACACCTGAATTCAGTGGGCATTAGCAGCATTTAGTAAGGACTGAAAGATAATCCCGAATTCCGAGGCTGTGTAGCTGAGCCAAAGCCTTTGGCCCCAAACTGCTGCCGAGCTCATGCTGCAGACAGCTCCCCAAAACAGAATGTACAGTTTAAAGGTGTTTTCTAGATAAGTATTAACATTTAACAAAGATATTATGTAAGCTATACAATTTTTTAAACCATATTCTGTGCAGGGGTGCAGTTACAAGCTGTATACCAGTGGAAAACTCAGTGGGAATATGGTATGATATCCATATTACTAGCAAAACCTGCAACTGCATTTTAACAGTGAAGTGATACATAATTCTAAAAATAAGCCTTATTTAACAAGGTTGGGCTTTTTTTTTTTTCCCCTGCTAGGACATGGAAAGACTCTGGAGGCATAGCAACCCTGCCTTCCCCACATACTGCTCCTGTTCCATTCAGTAGGAATTACAGAATAATCAATGCTACACCGCAGGATTCCGTCACAGAGTCTGCAGGGTTTTTTGGTAAAAATAACATACAGTGAATTGAGGGGTAAAGAACAGGCAAGAGGGGTATAATTTTGTTTTGAGAGAAGACAAGGGGCATAAACATCCATCGAGGGTAAGTAGAACCATTTTGTACCTGCAGGCTGGTCACGGTGAAGTTGGCAATGAGTCGGATGACCTCGGGGTAGTTCTCCACCTTCACCAGCTCTCCCAGTTGGTAATTGCTTTTCAATCGGGCCAGCAATCGGCAGAATTCATGGTAGTTATTCGGGTCTGATAAACTCTTGAGAGGGAAAAAAAGAGAAGAATTGATAAACAGCACCACTTCGCAAGACATGGCAGTCAGCTCCAAGAGGTGTAGATTTATGGAGAAACGTTAGGAAAAGGAAGAGAGCACCAAGATGTTGCACCCTTCTCCCCAGTGCCACAAGCAAGGTGTGCACATCAGAAAGTATTTTTGGTGAAGAAACTTGATCGAGAGGAGGCAGAGACACAATTCCTCTGCCTGCATCTGAAACACTCACCTGTGGGTTTTCCAGTATTCGTTTAACTCCATCGACGAGATGAGATAAAAACTTTGCTCTTTCTGCATTGTTGAAGAGGGATCTGCGTACAGAGGCTATCTGCACTAAGCAGGATAAAACCTAAAAGGGGCAAAGAGAATCAATAGAAAGGGAGGGATCCAAACAGTAAAACAAACAGCACGTTTCCTTTTCATGACATAACAAATCATTTAAGCCTGATGCTCCTTTGCATGCTACACAACAGCTCCTCCTCTTCAAAAGAGGATGTGAAACCACAGCCACCATCACTGCACTTCTGTGTAGTCGATGTAAAAACACAGAAGCAAATTACAGGAGGGATAAAAAAACCTGCATCACCCAAAGGAAGAACATCTCCATCCCGACAGTCAAAGGTGTGTTCCAAACTCTGCTAGGCAGTCCCTAAAACGATGGGGTTTCTTCAGATGGAGAACACAGACCACACAGGACTGAAAACACACTAGGACTGGTGGGAGAAGCTGGTGTACTTAACACAGACTTGGAAAAGTATTGTAGAAGATAGAAGATTGGCAAGAAAAAAAAAAAATAATCAATTGTTCTCAACCCAAACCTCTGAAATTCAAATTGAGAGTAAATTCCAAAAGCGCAGCTGGTGAATAGGGTTTTGCAGAGCAGCAGCAGTTAGTTATGACTAGCACCCTACAACCCCTATCCAGAGGCAAAGTCCCATTCCCTCTGACCAGCCTTAAGGACTACCTGCTCAACGGCTAAGCCTCTCATTCTTGCTGGCTCTTACATTTACTGATCAAAGAGGCAGGACAATTAAAGGCGTAATTGCTTCAGATTTCTACTCAGTAACAACAACAACAAAAAAAGAGTCTCACACTGTTAAGATCTCTCATGAATATTTGAGGCTCTAAATTCAGAATTAGCAAGTAACCCTTCAACATAATGAACAGTGCTGAGAGTCTCAGAGGAAAAAGTACTTCTGAAGGACCCTTCCCTCCCCAGCCAAAGGGCGTGTTTTTATTGTAGCATTAATTATGAAAAATATTTATCAGACAGATAAATGCCCGGCAGCCAAATTTTTTTCAGGAAGAAATAATCCAACTTGTAGTTCAGTTGTGCTATCGGCCATTTCATCCAACTGGGACATGGCCTAGTTTTAAAGTGTGGAAGGAGAAATTACATTCCTCAGTCCTGCTCCCAGCCTTGCTACCTACTCACAGTATGGTTTTAGGATCAACTCAGCAGTACAGTGGAAAGAACATAAGCTACATCCCTCAAAAAGGGCTCACTGGCAGAGCCAGCAGGCAGACTCCAGGCTACGCAAGGACAAAGAATTAGGTTAGATTTCCAGCAAACAAGCTGGTCTTAGGTCAAATCTAAACCCTGCAGATGCATCAAAACTAGCAGCAGCAGCACCAGAGCAGCCTCCCCTGTGTCACCACGGCAGTGCCACCAAAGCAAAGGTGGCTGTCTGAAGTCAGCCTACGGCATTTTCACCAACAGTAAGTCTCCCGGATGAATCCTACACTTTCTGGTGTCAGAGTCTGTAAGGAAAATAAACACTGAACTTACCAGAGGAGAAAACGAAGGAGGGATGGAATGATAAAGATCAAAAAACAACTGAAGGGTCGAAGAATCCAAGAATGCTGAAACAGAACGGAGCATTTTACTGAGAACACCTCAATTTGCTGCTTTCCATAGGTCTAACACTTATCAACAATGCCATGTGTACTTGCCACATGAAGTACCACACTAAGAAAATTTCCAAAGGATTCTACATTTTAAACAATGTCTTTCCTAGAAATAAAGCAAGCCCACTGGCACTTGGTACTAAGACAAAATTGCAGGAAAACATTTTAAGAACACAATCTGTGAAACTGCACGCAAAATGACTGGTGAGAACAGCAAGGATGTTGAGAACAGGTGTCGAGTTATTTGTTATTTACAGTTTTTTTAAAAAAAACAGGTTACTGTTTCTTGAATTGGCAGGTGTAAGACTGAAAGGGTAGAGGAGTGTTTTGATAGCTCACGATGGGCAACTCAAAGTGAACTGCGTTTGTAATCCCACTAAGGAAAGGCTGGATTTCATGTCTGGCATTGTAGGCAAAAGTTTATTTGTGAAGTACAGAGAGGGCTTTAGCAAGTCACCCACGCTTTCAGCTGGTATGCTGCAGATTAGCCCTCTTCTTCCAGCAAGATTACCTGATCTCCAACTGGTTGGGATCTGCACAGTGCAAAGATCATCCGAGGACTCATCTGTTGACGTGCCAATGAAATCAAAGTTCAGGCAATTATGTGTGAGCTTAAGAAGCTGCATGAGCAGACCGTGCTGGCTTTCATCGTTCAGATTCAGGTTCTTCCCAGAAGCCTACAAAATACATCAGATTAAAAAGTAGAAAGAAAAAAAAAAAATCAAGGTGACAGCTGAGTTTGAAGCAGTAATTCCACTTCAACCAAGATGTGGCAATCATAAGGATCACATGCCAACCAAGCATCAACCCAGCCATCACACACTTTTACAGACAGCATCTGTATTTACATGCTTCGTCTTTACACAAGATGGATAAATAGACAGTGCTTTCTTTTTCACTCCTCTTGTACTGCACAGGAGCAAAGCAGCCAGGCTTGCCAGCTTGCAATTAGACTGCGAGATTCGGGAGATACAGAAGTTCTTATTAAGATTAAACACAAGAATACATTTTCTGCCTGACAAGCACTTAGCAGCAAGGAATCTCGTTGCTCCACCTAACCCTCATATGGAAATGAGTGCCTTCACTTTTGTTGCACAGATGATCTGTATAAGCCCTGCTCCAGTTACAACGCTCTGCTAGGGACAGGGAAATCATGGATACTCTCAAGTAACACAAAGGACTCGATGGATGCAAAATGCTAGGTCATCTCACTGCAGACTAAATGTGGCACTCGGGTGTGTGCTCCAGGGAGAGGCCAGCCCATCCATCCTTTGTATTATCACTCAGTGCTTAAAACAAAACTAACTTCTTTCAGCTTAAATCTACTGCAGATCACACACTGCACCGCCAACATCAGTGCCAGTGGCCACTGGAACGTCTTCCTCACTCTCCACTGCATCACAAAGACTTATTCTTCTGGGGCTGCCTAAACGCACACTGTTTTACAAACACAGATGCAGCCGTGAGCGTTAGTTTCTCGCAGCTCAATCCTCCCCACTTGAAAGGATCACCTTGGAAACTTCTGCTTTACATACAGAAGCTTGAGACAGCTACTGTTGGACAAAAAAAAAATATATATAACTTGGATAGTAGGTGTTTAATCACAGGAAAACAAGGACACTGCATGAGGTAACAGAAAACTTTCCAACCTGGCTTAAACCACAGCATCCCAAGAAACAAAAGCAAGACGATTAAGAGTTAGGGTGGAAAACTAGAGGCTTCCTCCCGAGACAAGTCATGTCTTTCCAGTCCCTAATCTCCATGGTCATGCAGCAACAGCAGCGTGGGCAATAGCTCAGCCAGAGCTACACGTATAGGACACCAGTAAGAGTGCAGTTCTGGGGACATCAGGTTAACAGGGTCTGGCTTATGCCTCCTGCCCCAGTATAAGCACTTGCTGAACTTTTTCCAACAAGTCTGGGCAGTTATAAAGGACCCTGCCCTGCACCTCCCAAAGGGCTTCTTTTCACAAAACTTGAGGAATCCTTTTATTTCAGAGACCTCTAATTGACCATCACACGCACCTCAAATAAGCCAATGAATTCAAGTTACCTCCTGTTATGGCTCAGGAGGATGGGAAAGGATGACTAGCATAATTGTACAATCCTTGCTTCCTTTAGAAACCAGGAGGAAAAAAAAGATCAAATTACACCCACGTACCCACCTTTATTACTGACAGAACCAGAGCTGCTCACTTTGAAATATCTTTAAAATAAAATTTCCTTTTTGCTCTTTATGGTATTTGTCAACTTTGACACTTCACTCAGCTGGAAGGATAAAAGTTGAACTAATCAAATCTGTGCTCCTGCTGCTCAGTTTATTGGGGTAGACTTTCTCATAAAGGGCTACTCTTGAAGGCACCGTTAGAACTCCAGCTTTTTAGAAAAGAAACCTGATGCAGAATCAAGAATTTTCTTCAGATAATCTACCTGCTCACAAAATATGTGTGCTACTTCAGCTTAAAGAAAAAATGCCTTTTTTTTTTTGGTAAAAAACAACCCTACATTGCCGCCTTTTCCCAAGATAAGTATTTTTAAAGCAAGTTAACTCACGTGTGATAATCAGCACAAAATAAAAACCTGAGGAACACAAGACAGTCTAATATACATCACGTAGTAAAATATCAAGGACGATCTTAGTCTCAATCTACTAAACATTTTCTCTCACCACGTGGGTTTTAAACTGAGGTTGAGAGAGACACAGACTTATTTTCCAGGAAACCTCTCTGTCAGTACTGTACATCAAAGATATTTAAAATGTAAACCAAACATCTCATCTCTTTCCTGATGCTTTAAGACAGGAAAGTTTAACGCAAGCCTCGTGGTCCAGGCATGTATGTTCAATCAAAACTGCTGAAAAGAGTTTTATTTCTGTATTTGTGTCATGTTATTTTTTTTTTCCCTTAATACAAACTTAAGACAAAGCTTTCCTGAAAAACGAGTCCAGAACATAACTTTTAGAAGATGGGCACTCATTCCAGAAGATTCACAGAGGGAACTTCAGTCCAAAGTCTGTTGCCCTAACACACAGCCCCCCAAGGGTTGTGTGTTAGGGCACAAACAAATGACTGTTTCCTTACCTGTTTCAGTAAATTGCATGACAGTGTGAAAATATCAAATAAGGATGAATCTCGGAAGGAAGAGGCTATTTTCCTGTGCTTGGTCAGTGGATGAGTAGTATCCGCCTGCGCAGAGAGAAAACGAGTGCTTAGAACTGATGGGCAGAAGTAGAATAAGACCAGCAGAAGCTGTAGGAACCCCATCAAGCTCTGGGACATCAAGGTTTCCCTCCCAGAGCGATGTTACAGTGCCTGGCTAAACCAGGGGATGCTCCTGCAGAACAGTGGCTCTTCCACGGATAACATCACACTGCTGGCTGACGACAGGACTTTGCACTACAGTACTTAGAATGTGGTTTCACTGCGCCCCTGCCAGAACCCCAGGGTTGGGTTTACTCTTAAGTTCATTTAAATCTCTTCCAAAGCAGGATCGACAGCAGTATTTTCGACAGCGCTTCAGTCATTTTAGAAACTTCCAACACTGCTTTCTCAAGTGCTCCGAACTCCTAAGAGTGAAATCCTACCTGAAGCCGCTGGGCGGACACATGGTCAACTACTAGCACTTACAATTTCCCTCCTGAACCTGCACAGATGAGAAGAAAACTAGAAGGAGAGTTAACCAGTGACAGCCAGTTTGGATTGGTGTGTCTATTATAAACTCCAGTTCTGGACATCTCACTGTACCAGAAGAAAAAGCTGACGTGATCTCGAGGCAAATATACACATATTGCTTTATACCAGATAAAGTCTCCAGTTGATTCAACCAATGCATTCGAGCATGGGTGGGCACGGTGAAGGGCAGCACAGGTTATGTCACCTTGCAGAGCACTTTTCAGGAAGGGGAGAAAAGTGAAGTGATACTTCACACCTTTGCCAATTATTTGACCACAGGCTGGCAAAATTCCACTTACCCAGGATAAGTGATTTGACAGGCAGCTGGTGATCACAGTGGAGGAACCACTACAGCTGGAACCACTGCAGAGCTCACTAATGTACTAACCTTCATAATGACCCTATGGAGGATGCAAACACACTTGTCTCTTATGTTATAGGTGAGAAAGAGAAGCCCTGCATCACCCAGTAGCTGGCAGCAGACCAGAACTGGACCTAAATTCGTCAGGTGCTCAAGAGACTGAATTATCATTCCTCAGCTCGTGCTATTAGATTTCAAGGTCTTTTAAGAAAATGAGCATTATTTACTCTCTCCACAGTTATTATAAATCTCATGTATTTCTGGGCTTGTGGCAAATGAGCATTTTGGTTTTCTTCACCACGATGTCACGTGGCTTAAATCAGTGAACTGCTACAATATGGCGGACACTCAGTACCTCTGGGCAAGTCTGTGTGGTACTTACAGGATGAAAACTGATACTTCAAACAGTTACTAGCACTCTTATTTTATTTGTACTGTGAGCTTTTGGAACAAAAGCTTTAGTAAACAGAGCTCTAGAAAATTTGGCTTTCTTGTAATGTAATTGGAAGCTTAAATAGTTATCACGAAAAGCCTGAAGGTGGTTTTGGGTGGTGGTGTTTGTTGGGTTGTTGTTTGTTGTTTTTTTTTTTTTTTGCTATGCCCATGTATACAACCTCACTCTGATGAGTGGGCATGTTGGCAGATTTATTATCTTGCAAGTAATGGCAGTTCTAGACTTTCCAAGATGAGTCACTGAATCCAGTCCTGTGCAATTGCTGGCACAAAGCACATTTAGGAATGAGCAGTAAACTGTGGCAGATCTAATATCCAAGATACCAGGAAGAGATTTTTGATCAAAGTCTTTAATTTCATTGAGTATTTTAGTATCAACCTGTAGAGACTCTGGAACTGGGACAGCTGACAGTTTCTGTGCTGACCACGCTCCTTCAAGCAGGACCTGCAGCCCTGTACAAAGATGCTGACAGACACATACTGATTTATGGAAGTAAACACACTTGCTTTCATCCTCGATGCAAGGAAGTGAGGGACTGGCCCTCTGCAGAGATGGAGTTAGGATTGTACAAAAGTCTGGGCAAGGAAATGGTCACAGTAACAAGACATGGCTTAAGAGTTAGGAGGAGGGCTATGGGTTAGGATTTGATGATCAAGCCAGGCTTGAAGAAGGAACGTGAGTTTGGGGTGCGAAATGGATGCAGAAGGCATTCAGATTACAGTGCAGTGCTTCGCTTCAAGTCCAAAAGAAGACATTGATGCCTTGCCCTGGTCAGGACAAAACTTCCATTTCCAGTTCTAAAACCAATTTGTAATCATCCTTCAAATCCCACTCAAGGATCTCTCCGTTCCAATGCCTGGATTAGTCAATATACCAGCAAAAATGAAAGGTTAGTTTCCTTAGTAAGATATCAAAAAAAAAAAAAACAACTTAGTTACATCTGATCCCCTTAGCAAAATTAAAGATATTTATACACACGGCAACCCTCACACTGTCTTAGGACAGTGGTAGCCATCAACGGTGCTACAGAAACAGCTCTCTGACTGATTAAGACAATGATGGAACCTCAGACAGCACCAGCTTTCAACATAAGTACTGAGAGGCAGCATAATGTTAGAGGGCTCTACAAACCACTGAACTACCTAATCTGGAAAGACTCCTGCATCGACACCTTGCTGCAGCTGGCATGACTGGGTGCCATGCCAGAGCACCACGGACTCAGCGTGCCCAATCTTTCTTCTGCCAGTCACCCAGAGCCGAGGTTGTGTAAGGGACTGAGCACTCAGCCCCAACAAACCAGCAGAATTTAAGAACTACCTCCTGGGAACGCTACGGAATTTAGTACTGAATGAAAAGGACGCTTTAAAAGTCTGCACGATTTGACAAATCCTCTTTGTTTTGTCTCCCTGGTCAATACGGCGGAGGGCATGCTCCATTCACCACTTGGCACAAGAATGCTGTAAGCTGAAACAATGCACAGGGACTGAAAACAGAAGGTGCTGGGGATGTCCTCACGCTCGGGGCTTTGTCCTCGCTAAGTAGGCTTGGCTAGTCGCTCAGCATTGCTCTTTCCTTTGTCGTCTCAGAAGATCACACCAAAATATGAGAGAAGATGGAAGATGCCAGTGAAACAAAACAATTCCTCAGGACAGGAGGTTTCAGCATCTTACCACAAAAGTATGGGACTGTGTAAAAATAACAAAACAAAAAAAAAAAAAAGGAAAAGAAAACAGCCACCACACATCCCCCACATAAAAAAGCCCAAACAAAAACCCCCAAACAATGCACAGACACACAGCAGGACACAACAATATGAATGAGAAAATTGGACACTTACTTCACTGAGGAAGGCTGTAGCACTTACTTGATTAATTTCATTAGTTAGTTGGGACAGGATTGTCACTCCTATGATGCAGTGCTCTACACTATCCTGAGGAAGGAACGGGGGACAAAGAAAGCAGTTAGCAGTGCCAGGATGTTCTCATTAAGCTTCACTGTCAAAGACCTTTCTACTTGGAAGATTTCGAGACATGTTTGTCTAGAAATGCTTTACCTTTGCAGTATTGTAACTGGAAAAAAAGCCCATGAGTAACACCAAGCAGAGAATTTGAAATGTGCCTTTAAAGTACTTGATGTTGTAAACAGTGAAAAGGGTTCTAAAGAGTTCAGTAACATCAGCTAATAAAAATAAGCACCTTTTATTTAATAGCTTCATCAACATTTTTGTGTTATGCCCTAACTCTGAAAAGATTTATTTAGATTTTTTAAATCAGTTTAATTTTAACAGAGGCTGTGGTAAAACTCGTGGAAATTTCTGCAACATTAGGATGAAGACTCTGGGAAACAAACTCTCGTCCCTCCGATCTCCCCTTTTTAAACTACAGACCTTGAACCCCACGAGCAGCAGCTGACCAAGTTTCTCCGCACACCCGCCCCACCACCCTCCTGCCAAGGAGGACAGCCTATCTCCCAGTGAAGGGAGTCCATTCTTCACAGCCTGTTCAGCCTCTGGCTGCACTTGAGACTGGCAACAAGGGGCTGATTGTGAAATAAGTCTGTTACAGATACCTCTTCACTAGGAACGGTAATCCATTTATCAAATGATTTAAGAGAAACAACCTGTATTGTTCTTTTGCCCCAGTTTCTGTTCTGTAACTAATAAATGATGTTTCCTTTCCTAGCTCCACCTTGCTTTGCACCTTCTGCACAAATTGCCTTTATCTCCAGCTTCAAAGACTGAACTCATCTGCAATAGAGAAATTCAAGCATATTGAGGCTTGGGACCACGGCCACTTCTTTATTGGAGCCATCTCCTGACGACAGTTTCAGTATTTACATGGTAATATCTAGACAGAAGCCACTGGAACACCTTGCTGAACCCATGTTGTTAAAAAAGTGCAGTCTCCGGTACACTTTAGCAGCCAGAAGAGGTAATTTGCACAAACGGGAACAGATCATCTCAAATTGAACACAGCAAGTGGATATTCACACCATTTAATTAGATTCCTGATTAAAAAGCATACATTCCCCATGTCATGAGCTGGGAGAGGGAGCAATCCAGCTCTGTAATTTCAGCTAAGAGCACCTGCAAACTATATGGGACAGAGTTACCAGCCCAGAAAGGAACACGATCTTTAAATTACTTAACACCTTCTAGACCCTACTTCTCTGCAGATATCTGCCTAAAATAATAGTAGTTAACCTATTTTCTGAATGCCCACACTCTACCCCTCCAGAACTGAAGCCTTATGCACATTACATCTCCTTTTCCACCCTGGGAAGACTTTCTGGTCATTTTCATCTCTTCCACTGTCTTCCTCCAACTTTTGATTTTGGGACAAATTTCAGAGCAAATAAGTCTGTATTCGTAGTGTTACAGGATTTACTGACCTCTCTGGGAGGAAATTTCCATTTGGAAACAGCTGTTGATAAAAATGCAACCTTCTATCTACGTAGTCTTTTAGGTTGGGAATGAAATCTTACACTGTGGTGACAGCATATACATTTATGAAACAACAGTCCAGACTTCTGAAGAAAATCATTAACAGCAACATTCATGTAACATGCTAGTTTTAAGCTACATTTTTTTAATATAACTCAGCTAAATATCAAACATGATTTCCACAGATATATCACCCTGGCAGTGAATGAAAGCAAGTCAAGCATGGCACGTTTCCCTCGTAGACAAGAAGCCCACACGTTTACCATTTTGCACTAATCAGCATGATGTGTTTAACCTTACGAGCTTGTAAGAATTGTGCAACTGGAATGCTAAAAGATGTGTCTTACCATTGAATACTAATGGTGGCAGTTTCCAGAAGTAAATCCTTGCCCCATCAAACTTTAAATTATAAAAACAGACCTGTCCTGCCAGTTGTGAGCTGCTTAGCCTTGGTAGCCACTGTTCAAATCCACAAATATACAGATGAAAGACTGGGCAGAGGATACTAAGGTGCAAAACAATAACTGAAAATGCAAGGACTTTCAAACCCCACAAGGTGTCTATTTGTCTTACAAAATATCTGACCTGTAAAAACCTTGTGACATCTGTGATCACGTTCCTGAAGACATATTCATCCTTCTGACAGTCAAACCAGCCCAACTTTGTGATCCTGGCATATAACTGGATTAGTGCTTGTGTGACAAACGTTGCCAGTTTTGGCCTGGTGGCAAGGTAGTTGAGCACATAGTTCCCTGAAACAGAGAAGAGGTGTATCTGTACACAAAAAAACTCAGCAGATGGAACTGAGATGGTAACACTGTTAGGAAAAAGCATCTTTTTTGAAAGCTGTTTAAAAAAAAAAAGAAAACACAGCACAGTAGTGGGTTAGATGCAACTGTTGAGCTTTTACTTGTCCCTTTAACATACTAAAGCTGTGGAACAGATCTGGAAAGTGGTTAGAGACAGGTGAGAGTTCCTCCCCACACGCCTAACTTGTTTTGTATTATCAGATTAAGTCCAATCCTCTGTAAACACATGTAAATCAAAAGAAAAGCTGAAAATATTGCAAGACTCTTCCTCGGGGATGACCATCTACCCCATCATTTGTAAAGAAGAAAGCAGACCAAATGGCATTCAGACTCCTTCCTCAGAGGAAAGGAAGTATCAGCTATTCTCCAGGAAAGAGCGCCGTGGCTGACTGCTCCCTTAGGAAATACTCTAAATGATACATCAGAGACCCAGAAAGGATTTTCACTTTTGAAAGTATGCCCTCAGAAGAGGCAAGCACCACATATATTTCATACTCCAAAAGAAATTCATCAAATGCATCTGGTTTGTTTAGAAGACCACAGAGCTGTCGTTCCCCTCCATCTGGAAAAATTCTGTATATTTAGCCTCGAACTCTGTTAGCTAATGATACAGGTGAAGAAAGAGAAATGTTTCAGAAACGTTTCTTTGCCTTTTGGGCATCCTATACCTTACAATGCCCAAACTGTAAAGCACAGAGGCTTGCAGAAAGCCTCCCTGCCTCGGATGAAAGTCTGTATGACAAAAAACTCACGTTAGTTTGGTCAGAAAAACCGAGTCGTGTACTTACGAATATCTATTCGTTGTTCCAACGGTAAAGGGTTGTTTGTGCGTGACACGAGTTTTGTAAGGCATGTAGCTGCCAATAGCTGGGAGTAGGAGGACTGTAAAGAAAAAAAAAAACAAACCCACAAACAGAAGTTTACCCCACACTTCGGAAGATCAAGCAGCAATGCTGGATTTTAAGCTCATTGCTCTCTGGAAATCTGATTGGTATGTCTGAATACTCTACATAGCATTTATTCTATGTTTTTGTAGACACTAAAGCAAACCAGTACTTGCAGAAAGTGTTTAAGAACAAAAGGAAAAGCTTTTAAAGAGTGGAAGACAACAGAACCGCCACTGAAGGCGGGAGTAAAACTGCAAACATAGTTAACCTGCGTGAAGTTACCTTAAACACCATGTCTGAAAAAGACAGTTACCCCTTGGAGCTGTAGAAGTACGTTACTATACATTAAGAAGCACTTGCAACTTCCACTTGATTACTAAATACAGGTTAAAATGTATTTCTTACACAGCACACAGATCACTGAAATGTAATTTAATTCAGGGACATAAATGATGGCATTCAACCACCTAAAAATCCCCTGCACCTGATTCCGTAAGTTACAACCAGGGAAGCAATAAGCATTTGGCATGCTAATTTCTGTAACACATAGTACTGTAGAAAGCTTAGTATCCAAGATGCAGGAAATCCATTTATTCCAACATCCTCAAGGACAGTTGGGTGTAAAATGAGTCAGATCCCAGATCGAATGAAAAAACCCACAACCCTCTGGCAAGGGTCAGGGAGGCAACAGATCACACGCCGAGAATGAAACTGGGCTTTAGGAGCTTTCCTTAAATAAAGAAATAAATCAATTATTTGTCCTCGGGTAAACCAGTTGCTAGTTCCCATCAGAAGAGCTTCAAATTAGCTTGTTTTGAATTCACTGGACTTCAAATTTAACAAAAAGTTAAATAATTCACTCTGTGTAAGTTTGCTAAGCTTGCTAAGTGTCGCTCTTCTCCCTCTGCCTTCAGCATCTCCTCCTCCTCCTCCTGGAGGACTTACTTTTTACAACAGGCTGTTTAATGTTTCCTATTTTTGTGAACAAGGCTCCAATCTGATGGATACAAATGCTGGATGCACGTTCTGCCAGAAGTCAAATCTTGCAAGATCATGTGGCAAAGCCATTTTAAGCATTATTTGTGCTGATACAACACAAAAACCAAATGGCCACTTAAAAAGAAGAAAGCTAAGTCAGGCAGGATTTACTGCTGGCATATTTTACATCCCTTCTGTAACACTAATTCTAATGCACATGATCTAATTTTCCCTGTTTTAAACTGCTGGATTATTAAGACAACACTATAGCAGGGGCAATTTTCCAAAGAAACATTCCAGAAGAAACACTCCTGGTTTTATCCCCTATGAACCTCTGTGCACACACCATTTTCTCCCCAAAGCCCACAGAGAAGGCAGTGATTCCCACAGTCTATGAAATACCACTGCCATTACAATGTTTTCAACTTAAAGCTTGACGTGTCTGGGTGGAAGCCTGTGAAGAATGCAGCAAGGCTCACAAGACATCAGAACTGACAACAATTTGGAATACCCACTGCAGCAGCATAATTAGCCATCAGAGCCAATGCTTTTTTTGGCATAGGCTGCCCATAAATTGAGATACATGAGAGCATACTGGGTATGGGATATAAACACTGCATACCAAACCTCGGGGCTATTTCCCTTATCAATGCCCAAAACACCAAGATACATTTTGGACCATTATATTGTTTTACATACACTCCCTCTTTCTAGAAGAAGCTGGCACTTGCTCAGGCAGTCTGGACTGTTGGTGAACTCAACCAAGGCTTTCTCTGCCTGGAGCCGTGTCGCAGTGTCTGTGGTCTCATACAGCTGCTTGCACAGGTTCTCTAGCTGGGCTAGGCTCTGGAACACAGGAAAACAAATCCATTAGAAACAAGAGGTTTCACAGTGTAGTTAGGCAGCAGTTTAACCCAGGTTGTACGAACATATGCATACACACACGGATAACTCCACAGTTTGTGCAAAGGAAGGAAAATGCTCAACTCACAGTTTGTTCTTCCATCAAGTAAATGCATTTAACCTTCTAAACCACCTGTATAGAAATGTCACAGCTACCTCTTAGCCCCTGTTGCCTCCCCACTTTCATCTTTTTCACCCGAACTCAGGCACTCACCCCCAGGGTCAGCGCTCACCCAGCCTGAACACACCGCTCCATGCGGCTGACAAGGTCTGGAAAACCTTTTACAGCTTGTGCTGTAACAGTGACAATCCTAACCTGCCCATTTTAAACAACAAAAAACACTCTCGCATCTAGTTTTTATGTTATACAGTGTCAAATCCCTCACAAACTTGGTTTATATTCCCTTTGCAGGGCACCGTAACAGACTTCAGCATCCCAGGATGCTGGAAGGATCGCACATTAAATCTTCGACACTACACATGCCAAAAATACCTAAAGCAGAACAGAGCGAATGAAGAAGGGGATGGATGCCTTTCGGCGGCGCCTCTGTGAACACGTTTGAAGGGAAATAAAACTACCAGGCAAATTCTGTGTGCTCAAACAACTGGAAAATATTTGCCATAAACCGCGATCCAGGCAGATGGTTTCCCCCAGTGAAATCTTAGGTGCCCTAGTTAAAAAGTGGCTTCACAGATGGATATAAGTATTCCCTCAGGTTCTTACTGCTAGACTAATAAGCAGGTATTTTCAACCGCTTTTGGGCTACATTCTAGGTTTCCAGGGATAAATCATTACAAGCATACCATAACTTTTGTGCATTTGTAAAAAGAATAGCCTCAGTCACCCAATTTATTTTTGGAGGAGGGACTGTTATGCAGAAGCTGAGTTACCGACGGACTCACCACATCAGCGCACAGCTGAACGCTTTCTTACACACAATTCCAAACCAAATACACCACAATTCCAAACGCTTTCTTACACACAAACGCAGCAATTCCAACCAAAAGCACACAGGAGTTTTTGAGGCTCTGTTGCTGAGATGATCATCAGATAAGAAACACAGAGAGAGACTCTCTGCAAAAATTCTCTTATCTTGTACCATATTCCAGAGCTCTGATCTTTTATTTTTTAAACCATCACCTCACGGATAATGTTGCCCTGACAGCTTCACTACTTTAGAGAAATTAGAGAACTTCGCCGAGTGGCAGACCGCAGCTCAACATAGAGTTTTGTTTTTCACAAAAGCAAAACCCAAAAACTTACGGAAAAATCAAAGATGAACATAAACCACATTAACTCTGGCTAAGCATTTGTCAGCACCTGTCATTTTTCATTACAAACTCACTTTCAGTTATTTAAAATCAGTTGGCAGAGTCTGCATACAGGAGGGTGCCCATTTATGTGTATCACCTTCAGTTTCGGGACAAAACACCATTTCCTTCAAATCCCCAAAATCCTCGAGACCATTTCTCAATTTGAAAAGCTACCACGACCACTTGGTCCACATGTGTACGATGGACCAAATCCTTGGGAAGCGGCTCAGCCCGACCCCACCACCCCAGCGGGACAGCGACGAATTACAGCCCATGGTCCCAAATCGAATCGATGAACAACGATCCAGAGAGCACGGTTCACAACTTCAGGAAAAAAAAAGAATACCTATTTTTTAAAAGTTTTACATCACTCTGCATGGATTCTTTGAGCAGCTCAGGAATGGGGTTTCCTCACAGCCAGATTTCTTCACACCTCTGAGAATCGCTGTTTCTCCATGACCGTTTGGGACGCGGTGGCAATAACCATGGCTGCTTTTGTGCCATGCTCACCACGACAAAACACCCTTGTTTGTGCACAGTGCACCATCCGTGCCAGCCTTCTTGCAGATTAGTTAGTTAACTCCCTCAAAGCCAGAGAAAACACACGACCTCAAACAAAACAAGCCCGGAAAGCCAACCGTGCCAACGTGTCTGCTGCCCACGGGATATGGCGCACAAGAGATATGCCTCATTAATGACACTACGGTCACTAAAATATAGTTTTCCTGTGAAAAAAAAATTCAAAAATCACACACATGGAAATGTCAGTCCAAATTATCCAGGAGTGTGAACCCAGCAACTCAATGGGGAATAATAAAAGTGCACTCTATTCACGTTAGATTAAGCCAACCATCCACAGCAAGTTTTAAACATATTTTTAATATCACATCTCTTATTCCCCAGTGCCAGCTGTCCAGAGTGTCCCTGGCCAGACAATCCTCAAGTTAAAGTTCACTCGATACTTCTTCCTCACGGTATCCCCAGATATGTAGCTGCAGGGGTGGCTGTGCAACAGAGAGTATTTTAGGGCACAAGAAGTACCAAAGCCTACAAGGGCAGCACAGAGGGAAAGTTGGTGTCCAAACTTGGGAGTTTTCATCTATTATTTCAAGTTTGTGAAAGGTCATTTTATTTTTTAACTTCATGTGCTCTAATACACATTCATGATAAGCTGTGATCCAACCGAATCCATTTCTTTGATGAAAAAAAATCATCCATAATTTTTAGGATTGTGAAATTTCGTTCCTCCTCCTATGCCCTGACGCCATTATCTGTTACAGACGGGCAGAGCACTTTAGCTGCCCTGACGCTGCATTCCAGGCTTGCAACGTTAAGTTTGCAGCACGTTTTAATATTGCCACAACAAGGGCAGCAGAGTTCCCCTCCGCTCTGCCGACGGGCAATAAATCAGGCCAGCCTTACTCCAGCACTGAAAGTCAGAGATGTTCAGGCATTCGGGGTAGCAATTAGGTGGGGATTATTTCACTACAGAGACCGGGTAATATCTATGTTTTGACCCAAGATTAAAAAAACCACCATATAGTGTGACGATTACGCAGGGCAAGAGCTCTGCATGTTCTAGATAAGGACTAACGCACGAGACAGCGGAGTATTGGAAACAGGGAGACGCTCTGGCATCCCACCAGTGCTGTGTGACAGGATGGAAAGGTATGTGGCCGGTGAACCGAGAAGAAAAACAGCACTGAAGACAGTTACAATGACCCAAACCTCGTGTTTATCACTCCTTTGAGAACGAACAGCTCCAAAAACTCCTTGTAAAAAGAAGAAATGGGTCCTTTGCACCGAGGGAAGGCACGGAGGCGTGGAGGAGGGCTCAGGGCAGCCGGGGAGGTGGTGGGACGGGGACTCTGAAGCGTGGGGCAGCGGTTGGGATGGCATTTTAGGAGGAGAACTGCTGAGTCACGGGAAGCAGCCCCAAGAGTCAAACACCTCCTCCCGTGCCAGCTCCTGGCCTTCCAAATCGCCCTTATCTGCTCCTCGCAAGACAGCACTGAAACCTTAGGATTTTTCTACAACTACACAAACCATGGTCTATTAACAAATAGATGCAGTAACAAAAAAAATACCCCTCGTGGTCCAATTTCTCTCACGCATCGCACTGCGGAGGCTGAACGACGACCCGAATCACCGGTCACCTCCCAGCTAGGAGCACATGTCTTAAATGCCTATGGAAAAGCCTCAAATGCCACTGAATTTTTCACATAACCACCTCTTGACACCCAACTCAGCACAGATGATCACTTCACTTTTCCTCCTATGTGCACGCACATATTTTCCCCTCTCCAGAGCCAAGATCCAATGATTTTCCCTCCAACAGAGTGTATCAATTAATGCCTATTAATGGCAACTTGCATCCTATCTCAGCGTTCTTCTAAATCCAGCTACCAGGCATGACATCTCACTATGTCACTGTCTACAAGCCTTAGACAATTTTTTTTTTTAGCTAACAGAAGTTGAGTAAGTTTGTGTCCCTAAGGAAAAAAAAAAACCACAGAAACTACTATCATGTTTGTGATCCATTTCCCCAAACAGAAGTTCAGTCCTATATTCCAAAGCACCAGAGGGTAATGCCACACACCCTCCAATCGACTCCAACACCATTGTTTTATATGCAGAGGAAGAGTTTTTCAACAAGGGAAAGTATGTTTATCAGAAATCAGCAAACTTGACAAATGATTAGCAAAACTTTCACTCTCCTTCCCTCCTAACAGCAGCAAGCACTCAGGGAAGTTTTTCTGTAGACCAGCATCCTACAGAGAGTCACGGGCTTCTTTCCACCGGAGCCTGGCATGGAGCAAAGCTCCCTCCACTGCAGGTCCTGAGCTGGAATTGCCAATCCATCAGCCTCATATGAACTTTGCATCATGCTATTGCTTATTTCTTTAATACTATCAAACATGAGATGAAATGAGTTTTCCTCTGTACATGGCACCCCCTTTGTAAGATGTTGGCCTCAGATGTTTGTCCACTGAGAGCAGCTGTGAAGCTCAAAACGTGGAAAGAAATCCCAACCTATCAATCTCATTTATACTACAAGCTACAAATAAAACTCGTCACTGCTCGGTGTTTTCCCCATGGTGAAGATAAACAATGTGTGATCATCTTTAAGATGATAAATACTACGAGGAAAGTAACAGCTACCTAAGAGGAGTCTCCGGGGGATGGCTGCGGAATTGATCCTATATTACACGGTTGCTTAAGCAACGCTCTTTACATCCAAGGGCTGCACTAAGCTTTAGGCAGGTTTAGCTCAATCGAGTTTGACTTTGCCATGCTGACGGTTCCCATTTCAGAAAACTGAGGAAACGCACGCTGTGCTCGGCGGGCTCAAGATGGCAGAGCCACAAAGTAAGCAGGAGCGCACGCAGCCAGCCCCGACCGCTCGGGGGGAGCGGGCAAGCAACAACCCCACCGATTCCGACACCTAAAACGGAGTATTGGCCTTAACAAGATCAATCCAAACTTCCCTGCTGCCTGGTGGTTCTTATCCTGAAGGATGTGCCTTGCTGTAAATCCTCCAGGCACACATTGTTTCCAAGACATTCCTTCTTCCTGCCTTATGGTTACCGACTCCCTGAGCCAGAGATCCTGCAACATGTTTAATACAGTTATTTTTGTCC